AACGTGTAAATGCACAAATTCCATGAATGACTCTATTCATAGAAGTATTAGAGATATTTGTGTTCTTGAATTTTCGTGTGTTATAATGTCTTATCATCTGTTCATGGGTCTCAGAAAAATACGAAAGTTGAAAAGAGTTTACTTTATGATATTACTCAGAGGCAAAATGGTCTTATGACATTTCGAATGATTTTATTGACGTGCTTTTTATGCATTGCATTCATGTGCATTGACCCATGACTTAGACGGCGTTATATACGCGTATATATGTATATATATGTATATGGGATTTGGGAAAAGGGTTACGGCGTTATATACGCACCACCACCCGATCAGCTGGTATATGATGATGATGTTGCCCATAGTGGCTGGAATATGATTCAAACGGCATTATATACGCGTATATATGTATGTATTCAAATGGCATTATATACGCGTATATATGTATGTATTCAAATGGCATTATATACGCGTATATATGTATGTATTCAAATGGCATTATATATGCATATATTTGTATGTATTCAAACGGCGTTATATACGCATATATATGTATGTATTCAAATGGCATTATATATGCATATATTTGTATGTATTCAAACGGCGTTATATACGCATATATATGTATGTATATATATGTACATGGGATATGAGAAAGGTTATGGCGTTATATACACACCACCACCTGATCAACTGGTATACGATGATGATTTTGCCCACAATGGCCAGTATGATATAATGGAATGCCCTCAGAGGCTGATGATGTTATGAAACATGTACCTATGCACGACATGACATTCATACGCACATGCATGACGCTAAAAGTAATTTATGATTTACAAAGTTATTCAGACTTGCAGGTTGAGTCATGTACTCTATATTTCTTCCATGTCTCTAATGTACTTACTTATGTGCCTTACATACTCGGCGGATGTTGGTCCCGATAGACAGGTCGAGAGCCCTCCAAGTAGGCTATCAGCTCAGCGGAAGATGTTGGTGCGCTCCATTTGCTTCGGAGTTGCTTGTTTGGTTAGTATGATTTAGACGTGTATTGTTTGGTATGGCGGGACTCTGTCCC